GAGTGAGTGAGTGAGTGAGTGTGTGTGTGTGTGTGTGTGTGTCATCATGCCAACAGCGCTGTTATAAACTCTTGTCCATGTCAGTCACACACTCAGTGTTTAAACGTTAGTCAAACCTGAGATCTCGTTCAGATCTCACATGAGCTGCGTGAAGATCAGTGACTGAGAGATCAGAGCCTCACACACAGCGTCACATGACTTCAGAAGACCGAGATATTTAGATATAGATATAGATATTTGGGCCATTCTACAGAACTGGTTCAAAGTCAGAGTTGGAAATTTCTTGGGAAAAAATGTCTTTTTCCAAAACATTTGTATGTATGCAGATTGTATAATATCCAAGGTACACATTTCTAGTAATTGTTCAGTTAATTCTTATATTGTATTTTCAGAAAGTTTTGGAATATTTGTCCTCTCCCCAAATTTGTCACTACCGAAACACAGTAATAATAATTTAATTAGAAGGGTTATATTAACCTGTTAGGATTTTGCTTACATCTAGACTGTAATTTTTACATTTTTTTTTATTAACGTTTTTAACAATATTTCAAGTGCTTGTTGTATTTCGACTCCAATTTTTCTTTGTAAAATGCAAAAAGTTGATCATACTGATTTGAAAGTTAAGAATTCATTAGTTTGTATATACATTGAACCAAAAACTATCACAATATCTTAGTTGATAACCCAGTATACTTTATTTTTGACAAAACATCTCATGTTTCGGTAGTGACAGTAACGCATTTGTAGCAACCACAACACATTACAGAATTTTAACTCGCATACTAAAACATACTAGAATACAAAAAATGCATAACTGTACTAAAAAACATTTATTTCCCCCCAAATATGAGGATCATGTGTTTGTTTTGTCACTACCAAACCAATGATGACTTGCTTCGGTCGTGACAATTCTATGGGATAACACCCAAAAAAATAAATAAATAAAGATGCCACCAAATGTTTCGGTAGTGACATTTAGATACTTTTGAACCTAGCTCAAAGATGCTAATCAGCACATGGTTAGCTAGCACAGTGGTATACATATAAAAACGAAATGCTATGGAATAACTCCCAAAAAAGTGTGCTTAATTGCAGAAAAAAAATGTTCGGTAGTGACATTCCTTAAAGTTACACACAGATGTTTGAACACATTTATCTCAAAATGATGAGACCCATCTACTCTCACCTTGTAGCTATGAGAGAGAGGGACACAGGAATATTTCCTGATCATAAATTTATGTTTAGTTAAATCAGTCTCGG